ATGAAGTAGTCTGTATTTAGTAGATTGTGAAAGAATGATTATCAGTTCCACACACAGAGATATAAAATTCTACATTTATTTAAATGGAAAAAAAATTCCAATACTGAACCCTAGCTATCGGAATCGGTATCTGAGGCGAAAAAGGCGGATCGGAGCATCCCTACTTACATACTGTGATGCAGTGTCCTGGCGCGATGAGACAACACCAATAAAACCCATTACAAATGAGGCATTTGTTGCATCCAGTGGGGACATAATTACTGATTATAATGACTTATACTGTCTTTTTACACGTTGCGTATCGCGCCGCGTAAACATAAAACCATGTCTGCATTTGTGATCGGAGAAACGACAAACAACGAGCGCTACTCTACACTGCTCAAAACTCACGTTTGAATCATCAGTGGCAAATTCTTTATTTAAATTCTTTAAATATAAAAAACTTACAGGGTGTGAGTCAGAAGCGCCAGACTGTTCTTGCAAAATTGGAACTGCCCCACTTTATAGAAGCAGCCTTTGTGTGTAGACGGCATTGTAGTCTACTCTTCCAGGATCAGGAAACAGTCCTCCATAAAATGCGCTGCACACATTTGAATATTTGTGGTGAACTGTTCTGGAACAGTGTTGTAAATACAACTTAACCTCTAATTTCTTATGTCCTCGTTTGGAAGGCCAAACAAAGTAGTTTCGCTTTCACAATGAAACACAGCGTCACACACGGCGGGCTTGCGGCAACCACATGTGACGACCCCGGGCTGGACTCCGCTTTGTCCATGGTGAAAGCCGATCCGGCGATCCACAGCGCGAATTTGATGTATTTCCTCAACGACCAGCAGGGATCAGCTCTAGGCTTGACGAAGCGGATATCGTCCTCTTTTGGAAGGCCAAACAAAGTAGTTTCGCTTTCACAACGAAGCACACGACATACATCTCCACGACATGGCTGCGGCGGCAACAGCAATACTACAGCGAGAATAAAAGTTACGCCTTCTTTCTTTGCGTGAACATTTGGGCGGTGTTATGCAAAAATTCCCACCCAGTGATGTAGACATGTGGGGGCGTGTTTAAACGAGGCGTTTTAGGAGGGCGTGGACCAGTCTTAACTTTTATAAAGAATATCTCTTTGGGTTTGAGACTTTAGTCTTTGCAACTTTAGGGATCGTATCTATGCATGAACAGCTTGTAACACTCCAAAGAGAAAGGAACATTTGAAATGGCATCATATGACCCTTTTAACAAGTGTTTTCCCCCGAGTTACATTAGCCGCCATTTTGGAGAGTAACCAAGAACGTAATCAACCTAATCAGCGTTGTTTACGTTCAGGAGGGTAAGCGCGCACATGAACGTAATTGGCGTAATCAGCGTGGTTTACTCTTAGGGTAAAGTGTGCGTATGCGTTGTGATACTCTCTAAAATGGCGGAGGACAGTAACTCGGGGGAGAAGAATTGTTGAATAAAGTCGTTATTTTTGTTTTCTTTGCGCACAAAAAGTATTCTCGTAGCTTCGCAAAATTGAAGTTGAGCCACTGATGTCACATGGATATTTTACCGATGTCCTTGCTACATTTCTGGACCTGGGAATAATACAGTTGTGTGCTGTCTACGGAGGGTCAGGGAGCTCTCAGATTCCATCAAAAATATCTTAATTTGTGTTCTGAAGAAGAACGAAGGTCTTACAGGTTTGGAACGACATGAGGGTGAGTAATTAATGACAGAATTTTCATTTTGGGGTGAACTAACCCTTTAAAGCCTGAAAGCTTTGAACATGCAAATTATTTATTCTAGTAAACTGTTTACTTGTTTCTTTGGTCATTAAGATGCATGGACAGTCTGAAATTCAGTGATTAATCAACACCATGACCTTTATTTAGGTCATAGGATGACTTTTGAGCCTTGATGTCATGCTTGCACAAAAAAGTGTGTGTGGGTGAACGTAAGCACGACAGAGGCTCTAATGTCCTGCCTCTCATAGGTGGTGGATGGGAGTTCAATGCTCAAATAAGAAAATTTTTGTGCCTATACTTCTGTATATGTCTGTGTACATAATATATCATAACTCTTTCTTTCTAAACTTTAATTAATCTGTCCATCACTCCTTTTCTCTCCATATCTGCATTCGTCCAGTTCTCTGGAGGGCAGCCATTTTCTTCTTACATAAGACAACCCTTGCCCCTAAAAAGTAAAATGTTCAAATTGAGAATATGGTGAAATAATGACAAAACTACAAAAAAAAACCCAGTTCTTTCCCTTTGGAATGAGCAAGTTGGGAGAAAATGTGTTTGATTTTCCAGGAATAAAATGTATGCGGTGAATTCTGCAGTATATGACATAGTGAGAATCTGTTCATATTTGATTGTGTTTACTTGCTGACATTTAAAAAATGTTAAGGGTTCAATAGAAGTGAATCGCTATGGACAGTATCTGTGACATGCAGTCAGTTACCATAGTAAATAATTTCAACTTTAGATTGTAAAATCAAAGGAAAACAGTGTATACACTAATACTATTAGAAGACTATGAGGCAAGGCATTATACTGGAATAAGTGCCACAAGGTTTAAATTCTTATGCTGGGATAACATCATGTTAGAATTACTGTAATTACGAGATAGCAACTCTTAAGATTGTAACTGGAGCTATTCACATCCTCGACTTGAGAAATAAATGGTTTCTAAGGGAATGCTCATAACGCTGTGCTTATGTGTGCCATGGCAAATTATTTGATCATTACATTAATCCACCTGCAATTGCGAGTTCAACAAAAATGTGAATGTTTTTTTTTTTTACCAGTCTTAAACTTCTTAAAATTACAGTAATGCTGTGAAACATGGATCCTGGAACATTGTTTTAATGGGATGCATATATTTTTACATCTCTTAATTTTTCTTGTGAACCATCTTCCCTCACTGCTTTTTCATCCTATATCTCTTCTCCTTTCCATTCTCTCACTCTCCTCTCTCTCTCTCTCTGGTAACTATGTTGCGATCCATTCTGCAGGTATATTACAGAGTTTGTAAACCTAGGCAATGTGTCAGCTCTGCGCACATTCAGGGTGCTGAGGGCTTTGAAAACTGTTGCTGTGATCCCAGGTAAGTCCAGCATCCATCAGGGCCAACAGAGGGCGCCGCTCGCTGTCTCTCTTTTCACGCTCCTGTCTCTTCCTCCTCCGTTCGTTTCTCTCTCTTCTCCTGTTAGACAGGCTTTGCGTGATGTCTTCCTCCCAGTTCAGTGGTGGTGCTGGTGGTAGTGGTGTGTCGTACGTGTTGTGGTGGTGTGTGTGTTGTGTCATGGTGTTTGTTCTGTGTGTGATCCTCCCTTGTTGCAGATATGTAACAGAGTTTGTGGACCTCGGGAATGTGTCAGCCCTGAGAACCTTCAGGGTTCTACGAGCTCTCAAAACTATTTCTGTCATACCAGGTGAGAACGCGTTTAAACACGAAGGCTGAGCTGCTTCCCACGCCGATGCAAACTATTATTATTACCAGTATTACTACTACTGTTATTATTTTTCTCTTAGTTTTTTTTTTCACTTGACTTGCTGTACTTTTTCAAGAGGATGCTGCTGGAAGAATACTTTCATTTATGTTCTATTTATGTTTTAATACACAAACGATCAAAAATGGTAGCGATACATTTTTGATAGGCTTTGCAGTCTGCAGTCAATTCATGTAAAAACTACATGCCCTTCCAGTAATCTGGGATTTAACTGTCTTTATTTATTAAAAACTGCATTTGTCAATGGCAACTTATTATAAATGTCGGCTATTATGACGAAAAGAAGTGGAAACACCTGCAATATGCATCTAGCCCTGCTGGAAAACCCATCTTAAGGTGCTAGCTGTGTTTTGTAACATGGTTACTAGTTTAGGTGGACTAACAGCTGGTGAGGACCTGACTAAGTTGGTATATACCATCTTGGTCACGGGCCCTGCTGGTTAAAGGTGGTCAGGCGGGTTTATTGCTGGTCCAATATGGCTGACCAGGTCAGTTTAAGGAACTTGGACCAGTGAATGGCCAGTTCGGAAACCAGGTGCCATGTTTCAAACCACTTTAAGTTGGTTTTAACTTGCACTGTAAAAAAAAATCTGTGACAATTACGGTAAAATACCGGCAGCTGTGGTTGCCAGAACTTCACTGTAAAACATATGGTAGCAACATTTTAGGTTTTACAGACTTAACTTAAATTCACAATAAAATACCGTATTTCATTAAAGGGATAGTTCACCCAAAAATGAAAATTTTATGTTTATCTGCTTACCCCCAGGGCATCCAAGATGTAGGTGACTTTGTTTTTTCAGTAGAACACATTTGATGATTTTTAAGTCCAACCGTTGCAGTCTATCAGCTGTATAATGCATGGCAATGGTAACAAAATCTATGTGTGTAAAAAAAACATGCACAGACAAATTCAAATTAAACCCTGCGGCTCGTGATGACACATTGATGTCCTAAGACATGAAACGATCAGTTTGTGCCAGAAACCGAACAGTATTTCTATCATTTTTACCTCTAATACACCACTATGTCCAACTGTCTTTGGGCGCGCGCACGGCTTCTGGTGCGTGAGGTGTGTACGCGCTCTGGCGTAGTTTACGCAAGCGCCGGAAGTGATCTCTCGCGCGTATACATTACTCATTGTTTACACAGTGCACAGTCATTGTAGGTACAACGGCTAATCAAAATGGTACTTACTTGCGCTTATCCGGATTGTTCAAACTGACTTAAAACTAAAAGATTACATTCTCTTGTGCAAACTCATTCGGGAGTGGTGACTTTCCAAGTATTCCCAACTTTTGAGCCTGCTTGCCTGAAGTTATGGTTGATTGCTCTTCGGCTGGATATCAACACCTCCCCCTAATTATCAGCATCACCCCGTCCCTTAATCGCCGCCCTTCGCCAGGCTCCCGACATGAGTAGGTGCGTGAGAGAGGAGGGGCGCTGAAATAGCCAGGGCTGGCGGCGTGTGATGGGGCACACCTGAACCGAATGGAGCCTCATCACCGCCTCTGTTTAAATGCCGAGCGCGCCTCTCCTCGGGAGACCGGTCTCTTCCCCGTGCATGCACGCTGGTGTCCTCGTGGGTCCAGGAGGGGTGCGTAGAGGAACTCAAGTGCCATCAGCGTCGTGAGCTGCCGGACCCGCAGTCCGGACGAGAACCGCACCCATTACACGGCCGTCGGGCAAGGATGCCGGGCCGTCTAGTCCCTTCAAGCACCATGGGCAGAGAGAAGGACGAAGCCGCTGAAAGAAGCCGCCGCCCCTCGCGCCCCGGACTGGAGAGGGGAGCGCGTGTGGCCGCTGGACTCTGCCCCTTACCTGGACCCTTCCTACCTGACCACTGCCCTTCCCTTCACGAACCCCGCAGCACGACTAGGACACCAGATCCCCTGTTTATTTTGGACACTTGATTCCCTTTTTTCTGGACACTTTGTTTATTTTCTGTTAATAAAAGCCTCTCTGAGGCCTGACGCCACACCCACTGTGTCTGTCGTTTGCTCCTCCTGCGACAACACCCATTAACGTAAACTACGCCAGAGCACGTACACACCTCACGCACCGGAAGTGCTATGACACTATGACAGTTGGACATAGTGGTGTATTAGAGGTAAAAAATGATAGAAATACTGTTCGGTTTCTAGCACAAACCGATCGTTTCGTGTCTTAGGACATCAATGTGTCGTCACGAGCCGCAGGGTTTAATTTGGATTTGTCTGTGCATGTTTTTTTTTACACTCATAGATTTTGTTACCATTGCCATGCATTATACGACTGATAGACTGCAACAGTTGGACTTACAAATCATCAAATGTGTTCTACTGAAGAAACAAAGTCACCTACATCTTGGATGCCCTGGGGGTAAGCAGATAAACATTAAATTTTCATTTTTGGGTGAACTATCCCTTTAACTGATGTAATGTTAATAAATTAACATATTGAAATACTACCGTATTGACCCGAATATAAGACTATGTTTTTTTCTTGGAAATACATCTGAAAAAAACGCAGTCGTCTTATATTCAGGGTCTAGACTTTGACATGTCAATAATACACCCACAACAATAGGTGGCACCAAATACACATAAAACGAGTGTGCCATGTAATGCGTGTTGTAAAGATCGCGATTAAAAAGAAAAGAAAAAGAAAACCTTACAGCTGCATGAGTCGTGACTGTCACGTTAGCCTGATGGGACCAAACTCCCTTTGTGATTTTAAAACGTAAAACAGTACCCAGATTTGAAGACTACAGTAAGATTTAACTTCTACTGTTAATAAGATTTTGATAGGCTACTATTAGATGGATAGCCTAAATGTCCTAATTCAGATGGGCTACCTGTTTTTTGTTTTTTTATGGTACATCAAAAAGTGTATATTTTTAAAATGTGATTGTTGGTACATTTTATCAGTTTTTACCATACTTTCAAAACAAAAATTAAAATAGGAAAAATATGCAATATGAAAATAATTGAAGACAAAATGTGTTTTACTGAGAAAAAAAAACAAGATTTGTTTTTTAAAAAGCCTTTTTCCAAAAGGTACATCTGGAAAAATGGGGGTCGTCTTATAATTAGGGTCGTCTTATATTCGGGCCAATACGGTAATATCTGTTTTGAACCATTGTAATGCACTAATAACCACCAAAAACTGGTGGTGATGAGTAAGTCACGTGATGAACCAAAGCTCTTCACAAACAGCTTTTCTACAAGCTGAGGAGGGCAATACTTATATATAGAAGGTGCACAGAGTCATTCACACAAACACTAAACCCCATAATGGTGACACATGATACTGAAATAATGCAATAAACATTTCATTTAACAACATTCAATGTAAGATTAAACCCTAATGTACACAACTGATAAGAAAAAACTAAGAAGAAACATGTTATTTCAACAAAAAAACATCAAAAATGAAGTGTCATGCAGGGAATTCTTGGAGTGTCAATTTACAGTTTTTCACTGTAAATTATACAATGACTTTTTCTTTTTCACTTCCAAAAAACATATTTTTAACAATATTTTACTGTAAAATTACATTAAATGTAATTACATTTATTCACCGAATATAGTGTGAAAACTTACTGTTAACCAGTTAACAGGTTTTTACTGTAGCATTTTTTTAGCATATATATATACAGTGGGTACGGAAAGTATTCAGACTCCCTTAAATTTTTCACTCTTTGTTATATTGCAGCCATTTGCTAAAATCATTTAAGTTAATTTTTTTTCCTCATTAATGTACACACAGCACCCCATATTGACAGAAAAACACAGAATTGTTGACATTTTTGCAGATTTATTAAAAAAAAAAAACTGAAATATCACATGGTCCTAAATATTCAGACCCTTTGCTCTTAAATGATTTTAGCAAATGGCTGCAATATAACAAAGAGTGAAAAATTTAAGGGGGTCTGAATACTTTCCGTACCCACTGTATATATATATTTCAATTTGAGATGCTGCTCTGTGTTCTATATTCAAAATGTCCAGTCTCAGAGTTCTCGCATCATTGGACAGACGTCTTTTCTTTATGTTAAGTTTTAGTTACAGTATCCTAAGCAGACAGCATAAAACTCAACCTTATGGCATCTTTAAGGCATAGAAACATTTATATGTGCATTTCATACTGTTCAAAAAGCTGGCATAGTTTGTCTTTTGATGAACATCTCATCAGATTTGTTTAAAAGAAGCTGATGTGATGTGACATGAAGCTAAGGTTTGTGGGTAGAGCACTCACTGAGACTGCCAAGCCTAGTTTGACACGTTTTTGCTGCATGATGCTTTTGAAGACATCTGCTTTTTTAGTTTGTCTTTCTTTTTATTCTGTTTTTATTTTTTTGTATTTTTTTTAAACAAGTGGCTTTCCTCGAATTTCTGCATCCTTTACACACATGTAGATTTATATAATTTTTATCTTTTTTTTTGGTAAAATTACTGTTTTGTAGCTCCCTCCCTATTCTTATTTCAAAGAACTCGGAGTGGAAAGTAAAACAGAGACATCAGAAGATTTGAGAAGATTTGTGTGTATGTATGCATTGTAGCAGAGGGACGAAAAATCATGAATAGCCAAGTTAACTCACTGGTTTTCATTT